CCTCTTCAACCACGGAGCAAAACCCGTGTAGTTGGTTGGTGTACCGCTCGTAAAGATAGCCAAGGGACCAGATGGACGAGCCCGAAAGGAACAAGGGCGGCAAGAAAAGCTGGAGGGGCACCGTCAGGGCCCATTCCCAGTCGATGACGGCCAAGAGCTTGAAATCGTCGCTGAACAGCATGTTCCACCTTTGCAGATCGCCGTGCGCAAGCACGAAAGGGCCGTTGTCGAGGTCGCTTCGGATCCAGCTTGTCCTGACGAGACTGGAGAACTGATGGAGGAAATAAAGCCTGCGGCGTGCGTCGGCCTCGTTCTCGCAGTTGGCCCTGCTCCTGTCAAACAGCTCCAAGGCGCCGTCGAGCAGGAAAGAGATGTAGCGGCTTGCAGACGTGAAGCCCGCCGGAGCACCGCCCCATTTTTTTATCATGTCGGGCATTCCCCCGACCTCGAGCTGGTGCTGGTTCATGGCGTTCGAAAAGGGCGCCCTGCCGACACGGACCGAGCCGTCAGGCAAGGGAACCAGCCGGCCGATGGCGGGGAATTCTAAGCGGCTCAGCTGGATATATACGTCGGCTAGCTGGGCGTTGATGCTGTCACGCAGGTGTTCGGGCGTCCCCTTTTTAAAGTCTACCCCAAGCTCGTCCAACGTTTTGCCTTGAACGTATTCTAGGATCATATAGGAGGCGACTCCGTGCGCGCCCGGCTCCCTGGAGGTGCTGTATGCATGGACCTTGGGCACGGGTATCGTAGTGTGGCTTGCAACGAACCTGGCGGTCGAAATCGGTTCGAGTTAGCAAAAGCAAAAGCACAAAAAAATCCGGGAAAAGAGCGCGAGACCGGCACCGACTTCATCGTAGCGACTTCGGTCGCGACCTTCTCCCAAGGTTCAATGGCCAAGCACGGCGCCAGGGGCACGCGCACGACCCAGCGGTCGCCGTTGGGTGCGGCGTCGAGCTCCCGGGCCGGCCGGGGCCGCCGGAAAAAGCGAACGAAGAAGCAGACGTTGTAGCTGCCCCTTTTGAAGTCCTGGA